CTATTATTAAGCTGGTATGAGACTTTAAGAGGAATATCTGCATCTTTTTATGATACATATTTCTCACACAATGTAAACAGCATACCTGTGATTTGGCAAACTTTCTAAGATCTGATGGTTTGAATGAAGCGTCACCACACTTCAGCTTTGGAGTCTGTGATGTAAGCATGTAATCACTGTAAAGAGCAGCTAAAAATGCAGAAGCAACAGGATGCTGCAGAGCATTCCATTCACTGACCCATATAAGACCACCTGCACCAGAAAGACAATACTGGTAAATAAAAGAGGTCTCAAGAGGACAAGAATCAGAATGGCTAGTTCAGTTTGCAAGTGGTTTTAGTGACCTGAGAGCATTAATCCTCCCTAAAATTATAAGTGCAAATATGCCAATAAATGTCTGTTACTAATATTTACACTCCAAAAAATCAGGATATGAATTTGGTAAACTAGATATAATGGGTATCTAATCTCAAGACAAATTTTATTGCTTAAATCTCTCCAGTGTTCTCTTTCTGACTTCTAACTGTCTCGATATATTACAGCACATGGCTTAAGGAACTTGATGATCTATTATGATGCCTATTGAAATACACAGCGAGCATCAATGACTAAATTGATTTATTAGTCTAAAATCTTTTGATATGATAATGAACTTTCTTTGAACCATTTCTTTTTGTCAAATTCAAGATCTGCATAGCACAAATATGCATCTAAGTCACCTAGCTTTGAGGAAGACATTACCATCTGTTCTGCTGGATGTCGCAGAGGGAGACTTTGGTAGAAGGCCGCACATAACATCCTCAGCAGACTTCCTATAGTTTTCAAGGCCAGAATTCTGAGAGGCACCTTTGGCACCAAAGAAGCTTAACCTGGAAAGCAAAACCTGCATTGATGTAGCATAATCAGCCAAAAAGTAAGAAAAAAGCTATGCAAAATTCCTGGTTCTGAGATCTATTTAAATGGCAGTGAGAGCAAATTAAAATGAAGCAGAGCCATACGCAGAATCTGACAAAAGAGGCCAGATATCCTACAATAGTTGCACTCAGGTCAGAAAATAAAGAATTGCAACTGAAGCAGTCTACTCATCATGCTCATGTCTTAGCACAACAAAGCAATGCTTATCTCACTATTACATTAAACATCATCAAGAATGTGGGCTAAATATAGACAGAGAATTACTTTCCTTCAAATATTCCTCAACCTAAATGCTTTGAGGTTATAAGAATGTTGACAGGTAAACCTTCCAATGAAGCTCTTTAATTTTGCATCTTTACAAATGAACAAATGATCCATGGAGTTCAAACAAGATGTGCCAGAAATGAACTCAAGTTATTGCTACCTACTTTAACAAAACCTCACTATATGTGCATACAAATTGAGACCTTGGACTTACTTATATCATCACAATGCTTGACATAAGTCTATAAAATGCAGGCAAAAAAATAAAAGAAGAGAGGATAGCATCTTGCTTCAAAATTCTGTAAAAAGGGAACCTTACCTGGGTTCCAGCAAGTTTATTGTCCCAGCTAAACCAGGTTGGACTTCCCCAGTCAGCAAACTCTTCTCCGTTTTTGCCAGTCACATATTGAAGGTATGATTTGTCGCCCGTTGCATGATAGAGCCAGCTTGCTGCCCATAAGAGCTCATCTCCATATCCTGTTGAATTGTAATATGTTGCAACTTCTGGGATGTTCTCACTGTAAGAACCTCTATGATTGTCTGCAAAAGTAAAAAGTTGCTTGGCATGCTTAAGAAGCGTGCTTGAATATGTGGAGTCAGCCGTCTTAAACACCAGAGATGCTGAAGCCATAGCTGCAGCTGTTTCAGCTGCAACCTCTGTCCCTGGAACAGATGTGTTCACCATGGTGAGGGGCCTTTTCTCTGTCATATCCTCAGGCCTGTCCCAACATTTATGGTCTGCTTCAGGGTCACCCACCTGCCTCAGTTTTGGAAGCCAAAACGTAGGAGTTAAGGTATATTTCAGAGGCGTGATTTCTTTTTTTTAAAGAATTATGCAACTATCAATTAGATCACACCATCTTAGATTCCAAATCAAGTATGTTTCGCAATACAACTGCAGAAGTGGGAAAAGGTTTCTCATTTTGTAAAATACAGCATCAGAAATACCAGACTATAAGTTTGAGGCTTAGAATCAATTGCTAAACTCCAAAGATATCTGTGATCTAAAACCTTTGGTTAAAACCCCTAGCCATTTTGATAATTCAGAATATAAACTGCTAAGGCAAGATGAGCTGAACAAAAACAATTTAAATGCACTTGCGGAATCACTCATATTTATATACACACTATCCAGAAAGGCAGATGGCAGTTAAAAACAATGACAACCTGAATATAGAGCACGTTCTCTGAAGAATGAGCATTTATAAGGTAATCAGTAATCCACTTGAGAGATTCTTGAGCAGGTTCCAGTTGATTCACTGCCTCCATCTGATCTCCATACTCAAGGATAGCCCATGACAACACTGTAGCAGTAAATGCTAATGGAAAACCAAACTTCATGTGATCCCCAGCATCATACATCCCCTTGGAAAGATCCAACTTCGCTTCACTTCCATCCTTAAGCCCCGAATCTCCTCTCCATGATATCTTATTATCCACTAACTTACCAGCTGCGACAACAAACAAGACCTCAAATATTTACCAAAAAAAAAAACCAAAGTTGAGCAGTCGAAGAATTACTAATAATATCATATCATTAAAATTTCATAATTTGAAAATCCCGGTAACAAAGTTACCCAATAAAATGATTCAATGAAGAAACCATTTGTTTTAAGTAACTAAACGAAAACGAAAGATCAAGTTACGTCAAATCTTGGTTCCATATGTGAAAGGGTATCCTCAGAGGAAGCAATTTCGAAGAAAGAGAACAACCATACACGTAAACAGAGTAAAAGATACAGAGTGAATGAGGGTAAAGAAAAGGTACATTTTTGAACGTCAAAGAATTGCATTGCGATTTTGAGAGCATCAGCATACTTCTTTTCAATAGCGCCTGGAGGTCCTGGAACGGGAGCGGCCTTATCATCATCTGAGTGATCCATTTTCCTCTTGATTGTATAAACAACGGCCCCAACAACCAGAGCCAATATCACTATCACTAGAAACCACCCCAAACACCCTTTCGACTTCGATTCCTTCCCCATTTTTTGGTCACTTAAAAAATCCCCCCAAAGCACAAATCCTGAACTCAAGATCTAGATCAAAACAAGCGCATTGGACAATGGTTATGTTAAAGAGAAATGCAGAGTCTTAAAGCAGGTTCAACGTGCTCAAAAAGAAAAGAACAAGAAGAATATGTGATTATCCTTGGGAAGAAGAAGAAGAAGAAAAGAAAAATCTGCAGCACGGAATGGCTCTGAAGTTATTGTCACTTTGTCAGGGAAATGTGGTTAGAGACAGGGTTGATTAGTTGAAGAGAAGCTAATTAAGGAAAAAGGGTAACTGGATCTGGTGCCGCATCAGCAACAGATTGGTCCTCACTCCTAATCAGACTCATAAATTTGTTTATATGGTTACATTCTTACAGGACAGAGGTCACCGACAGTTAATTTCGAGCGGGATTTCTATAACATAACTCTAATTATTCGCTGTTTTATTTTATGTTTCAATGACGGATATGTCCCTGAGTTTTGGTCGGGCCGAGATTCGCGCAAGGACCCAGTATTAACATCGTTCTTCGGACATGGAAGACTCGTATCAGCCGTTGATACTCCATAAGGAGACCACGTCGGCTGAACCGGCTAATCCGACAACTGGTGCAAGAGAATGAGTGTTGAGCTTCTTTTTCTTAACCGGGGATTGGTGAGTGGGTTAAGCGGGTTCTGTCAGTGGCTAAAGTAGGCCTTTCAAGCTCAACGTGTCAGTGTTCCGTCATGGTCTAGATGAAGCGTCCGTGTCATCTTCTGGGCCTGAGGGACACGGATCTCTTGGGCCATAGATCCTTTCTGCGATACTCTCTTTATTGTCGTTGCCTTCACGTGACTAAAAGCAAAGGAAAATAAAAAGAAAATTTTATTAAAAAATCAATCGACATTTGGCAATTCAGCGGCTTTGCATCCTTTCTACGGTTGCCAACGAGTAGGCTTAATGGTAAGTTCTTTGCTAAAATAACCACTACATCACCACATATAAGCTAGTATGTAAGGAAGATGAAGGAATGAATTGATTGTTGTTATATTATACTAACGCATATGTATGTCATTAGAGATAAGAACTTTTAAATGTTACGATCTTATCCCTAAATATTTATATTTTTTTTAATTTTTATGAAATTTAAGATAAAAGTAAATGAAAAGAGTAATATTTGCTTAAGAAAAGCCTGTGATGAACCGCACTTGTTGCTTACGTACTCTCCCCAAATGGATTGGCTTTAGCCTTTAAAAGCATCAATACGTTGGAATGAAAATTTGTCCATTTGGAGTGTCTTGAAGTCATTACTTTCTCTCAAAGATATTAATTGAGATCTTCTCGCCCTCTTAAGGCCCAACAAGCACGGATTTGGGCCAAGAAGATCCGCTTCTGGCCCGAAAAGGAAGGGGAAGAGGAAAATTAAAACTGAAAAATGGTAACTGAACACTTGAAAGTTGACTTTTCTTTTCGCAATTCATCACAAAACAAATGGTTTTTTTTTCTGTGCAAGGTCACATGCTTACACCTAACACAATCTTTCAGGCTAATTGATTACGTTGTTCTGTAACCTAACTTCACTTCTGTACTAATTAATTAGCCATAGTGTCACCCCAAAGTCTATCTTGACCAGCTTTAGTGTAACTTAATTTCTTTTAATTAAAGCTAAAGCCGGGTGCGCAGTTTAAAGTGGACAACTGCAGCAGCTGCACAGCAAGTATCCTCGCCAAGGATTTTCCAATCCCTAATCACCTTTTTTCTCTTACTCAACCACTTATGTCACCAAATTCCAAGCAACTAAGCAATAAAAAATTCAATACGTAGAGACCAAAAAGCATCAAGTTAACGGTACATGCAAAATCCCTCCAACATGGATATGAGATGAACTTTATATCATTCGTCCATCCAAAGTACAATTTCCAGAATAGACAGAGGCCAAAGGCCACGCTAGGATGGAAATCACGTTATCATCCATGCTTTTTTAGTCACACCTTTTGGGACCTACTGCACAGATGAGGGTTGAATCAGTTGGCCCCAAGGACCCAGGATCTTCCCCATGTTTGAAAAAATAAAGCAACAAATGAAATATAAACTTGAAGACAGGAAATTTACATCAACGTTCGAACAACAATGATTCAATAACATTATACACCTACTGATTTAAGTGCTAGTTCTGTAAGCTAAAAAGAAAAGAAAAAAGGAGTTAATGCCATTATTTTAACGGGCTGTAGAACGGGTTTTCCTCAACCTACCGCGCGTGAATCGAATGCTTTCTTCCATGAGAGTCTCTTTCGGAGGAGGGTCTGTGCTTTCATTCTCTGAAGAAGGTGGTACTGGTTCAATTTGCATTGCTTCTGCTTCGGGTTCTGCAGGCTGGCTGGTACTTTCAGATGCAGTATCTGCTTTTTGGCTATTTGAGGATGCTGAAGGGTTAGCTGGTTTAGCCACCTGAGAAGGCACCTTTGAAGGTCCTACCTCTTCAGCTACTTCCTTTTGGTGTTGACTTGAAGATGTGCTAGATGTTGGTGAAGGTGGTTCTTCGGTCTCTGGTTGGGCTGCTTGTGTTTTAGTAGATGATTGACGGTTTGGGACAGCAGAGGGTTGGTGGGTCCTAGGACCTTGAGCCTGAGAATTCTCAAGTAATGGAGAACAGAAAAATAAACTTCAAGATGATTGAAATATGTATAGCAAAAGATAAACCACTACAGTACCAAAAAAAATTAGCAGAGATCAATTACACCATAGACACAGCATTTAATATTCAAACATTTTACAGACAGTTAAATGCATGAAAGTGACAGGCCATTTTCTAACTCCAGGGGAAACCATTTTTACAAAAGAACCAGTTTACAGTTTCACATATTCATTCTGAAAAATCAAGTCAATGCAGTTTCACCAAAACTACTTGGTTGTATACACTGCAAATAGCAGAGGCCATGGCACAAATTAGAAATGGCTTTAATTCAATAACTACCTGAGCATGGTGAGGTCTTGGTGTTGACTGTGAAGCAACATACTGTAGGATCTCAAAAATTCTTGTCTGACCATAGCTTGCAGCTCTTTGCCAGTAAAGAACTGCCATATCTCCAGCTCTAGTCCTTAGTTCCAACAAGTTCCGGTCAATTTCATTTTCATGCTTTGCAACATATGGTCTGAAGAAGGAGTCATACACATAAGAAGTTCCCTGAGATAAGTGAAAACAGAGGGGCAATTAAAACAGACATCAACATGTAGAAGCACAAGAAAATGTTATTATTTCTTTAACAGTAATACACATACCCTTGTTTTAGGGTACCACAGATATATAAAGAATGCCAACTTAGCTTCACTGTACATTGGAACCCTTCAAAAAGGCAAACAGGAGCACAATGAGAAAAGAGAAACAAGATATGAAACGTCTTTACAGTTTTATGATTCCCTACCATGAAATAAAAGCATCACCAATTCTCTCACAAACTGTCAAAACAGCCACCAATATCCTGAAACCAGAAAGGAAAAGGGGGAAAAAGAGTTACAAACACATAATATTTGCACAACCTAAAATGGAATTCAAGACCTACCAATACTGGCACCAAAAGCGCAGTTGCTCAATCTCAGGCTTATTCAGTTCAACAGTTTTGTAACATTCATATGCTGGATAAGCATAGCCAAAAACCATCCTGCCAAAATATTTAAATGAAAATGATTAATTTCAAGTAAAAGAATACAATTAAAACTCCAACGAGAAAGAGAACCAGTTGTAAGGTAAAACATACACAAGTCCTCTGGTAAGAAAGGATCCAATCATTTTGTTTACTTCCTGAAATTAAAAATCAGTCGCAAAATCAGGATTAAATCTCAGAAAATAAGCAATTAAGCAAGTAGTGCACAAGACTGTGTAACCATATGCTACATGACACAAAGCAAAAAAATGTTAATTAAAGCAGAACATTGGCCTTGGCTACAATATCTATATTTCTGATCTTACACTTCGTAGCATCAGTACCCCCTGTTTGTAAAGCGGTTTTTTCTAATGAATTATGTAAGTTTCAAAGTTCACAAAGAAAGAAAAATTTGTAATAATTTGTCCCATGGGCCATCTCCAAATCTCTGCAAAACAAAGCCTAGAGAGAAATGGTTACCTGAAGTTTCTCCTCTTCTCTCTTTACTTCTTTCCTTAATGAACTACCAAATTAGAGGAATTACTTCAGTATTCTCAATCCAAATATGCTGTAAATTCTAGTCAAACAAGGCCTAATCAAGCTGATACATAAAAAGATCTAAAATTTTAGTACTCTTTTTTACTACTTAAAGATAGAGATCCTCTAAACTGCTTATGAAAACACTCTTAAGCTTAGTTGAGCAAGAATTTTCGGATAGCGGAAATGAAAACAACATAAAACCTGCTAGGAACATCCACATATCCCAGTTTTCTGAGCAACCAAACAGGGGAGTAAGAATAACGTAATGTTACAGATTCAAAAAACGCAATGATTTACCTAATCAACCCCTAAACTTACCTTATCACACAAGTCATAATAATCAAAATACTAAGTATTAAACACCAATTAGCTACCGAAAGTTCTAAGGCATGGAACCATAAGTTCTTAACAAATCATCCTACCTATCGCACCAACAAGCAGTGAAAACAAAGAAATCATCCGAAAGAAACGCAAACATTGTCCAGTTCAAATAAAAAGGACCAAAATCTTATACAGAAAACCTAGAAAATGAGAATAGAAAAAGGGTTTAGAAAAAAGAAACTTCCAAAATATCGTTACCAGCAATGTAATGTTAGAGGAAATTTTGATTCCAGTGGTTGCGGATTCAATCACCCAAAGAAAAGGGAGATGCCAAGGAAAATAGCAGGGAATGGAAGAGCGATTGGTACCTTTCAAAGATTATTTTCAGTAAGACGAAGCAAACAAAACACAGCTTTATTAAAATCGGAAATGAGAGTAAATCCAAATCACAGAAGCAAATATTTTTAGAGGATTTCAAGGGAATAACAAATGAGTTTCGGAGAAGATCGCCGGCGAACGGTAAAATCGGCGCCGCCAAAATACGACGGCTAACCGTTACGAAGTCGGCGGTAGCGGTGAGTGCGACAG